GGGGGGGGGGGGCGCGTAGACAGTCCGCGTGTGTTGTGACTGCGGCCTGGCCCTTATTCCTCTTATGATCATCACTGACGGCAGGTTGTTTATTGACACGGTATGCCTAGAGGAAAGCAATTTCCTGCCTCAGCAAGGATTCACTATCATCTCGCCTCTCCTTTATCACTTACTCGGCCCCCGCGCGCACCCCGCCTCTTCATATCAACGGGATTTTCCCGCGCGCGTCCCTCTTCCTTCTGCTCGCCGCATCGCCGCCGACGCGATAAGGAGCTAATTGGCGATGGCTTCCTCGCGCCGCTCTGCGCCGCCCAACGACACCCCTTCCCTGCGTGTTTGTGCGGCGGGGCCAACGGCCACCCTGAGGAGGAGTAGCGGGGAGCGGGGGCGTCGCCCACACTGTTCATTATTTGGGGCCGTCATGCTGCTGCGCGACAAATCACTGGCAAAAAGTGAAAAGGGCGTAAGTCCAATGGGAAGACCGAGGAGACCGAGGACTTACGCCCTTTTCACTTTTTACCAGTGAAGTGCATACCCCCTGAAGATGCGCTTTCGCGGTATGCGAATTTATCGCGAGTAGCCAGTACGAGTAGGCAACCCGCCCGCACGCGTGCATACATTACAGTATAACTATGATAGTGCGCGGCGTGAGTCGGCCACCTTGGTATGTAGCCGGGCTGAAAACGGCGTAAACAAAGTTTACTCATTGTCGTTGAGAGAGGTGCTGCTGTTTGCGAGGCAGCGACAGCAGCAGACTGCTGCAGCGGGGTGGTGCGAGCGACGAGTCCCTCGCGCCGCGGGCTTATCAAAAGCGGCGCGCCTCGTAGAGCCACATTGCGCCAAACATTGACTCACCGTAATAAATAAACAATAAATATATGTAGATCATGACGTGCCATGCGTGAGCTTCTCCACGACGTTTCCTGCTCCCGCCTCCCCTTGCACCTCACGGCCGTTTGCCGCGCGCGCGCTCCCTCTGCTGCAGCTGGGAGGGCGAGCGCCTGCCATCCGGCCGGTCGGCAACCCGGCGCGCTCGCGTGTGTGGCGCGCCGCGGAGGTGCCTAACCGCCCACCTGCTGGACGACCTGCAGCCAGCAGCAGAGGCCGGGCAGCGCCACCCGCATCACGCGGTAAAAAAAAATGGTGTCTTGTAATTCAAAGCAGATTGTTTTAAATCCAAGTCACTTTTTCCTAGAATTTCAAGCAGTCCTCTTGAATTACAAGAAATCATGTTTACCGTGCACAATGACTCAGCAGCGGGTATCCCCCGTTGCAGCGGAGCTCTCTCCCCCTCTAACCATGTGCGGAATCAGTCGCTTTGAGAAGCTTAGTATAGTCTTAAATTTATCACGTGTGTATTTCGTGTCGTCAATTAACCGTGTTTTCATTCGTTTTCTTGCAGGTACTTACTGCCAGGCAGCACCAGGTGCGTACGCGTCTTTGAGACGTTCTGTGAAGTAAGAATGTGAGTTTACTCCTCCGCACTGCCGCATTCCAATCCCAGCACCAATCCTAGCACACACCCGCCTTTCGCTCACTCGCCTGGGGTCGGGTCATGATGTGGTGTTCGGGGGGCCCCCCGCCCCGCCCTCCTCCGGTCGCCAGGTCCCCCCCGCCCCCGCTGGGATGACGACTGAATGTCAATGATGAGTGGGGAGGGGGGAGGAGGAGAGGTTCACGCGCAGAAGTATGTACTCGTCGAAGCGGTGGGCGCCTCCGAGGTGGTACCCTCTGGTTGGTGGTGGTGGTG